TGGAGAGTTTAATTATGTGGATGGCACAGGATTTTGGGGCTGGCTCAGTGCCTGTGCCCAGAAGTCTCTGGGCAGCTTCAGGCAGCCTTTGGGCTTGTTTTGGGGGGAGAAGAGGATGTTTTATTCTTTTTTGGGTTTATTTCAGTGGTATTTACAAACCTTTGGCACTGGTGCTTACAGTGCAGTCATTGCATTGTACTTGGAACCAGGAAAACTCCTGGAATGGTGTTACTCTGGAGCATGATCAGCTCGGACTGACTTGTCACTGCAGGGATGGGATGGACTGGGATCAGGTGTGGGGAGGGAAAGCAAAGCTGCCAGGAGAGCCCTGACCTGAGGGGTCTGTGTGAGCCCTCTCTGTGCCAGTGCTCCTGGAGCTGCTCCTTGGGCTGGGAAGCTGCACCCCCTTGCATCAAGGGGGAGGCAAGAACAGAGAACCACTGAACCACTTCCACTGCTGCCTTGAGCCACTCCTGCAGGCCATGGCCTGGGACACTTCAGCTCCTGGTGCTTTGTCATGGAGTGGAAGCAGAGCCTTCCGTGGCCTTTTTGTACATGTCTGTGTCCTGTGCTCCTGCAATTCCCAGGAACCAGTCCCGAGGGAGAGAGTTCCCATCCCCAGGGGCTGTTCCCAAAGGAGGGGGTTCCCATTCCCATGCCATTACCCAAGTTGGGTGTTGCTGTGCAGGGCTGGGAGCAGGAAGGATTCACTCCCTGCTGTTCCCTGTTTCCTGCTGCTATGTGACACCGAGTTTGGCCTTGGGGGGTTAGAGGGATGGAAGGGATGAAGTGTCTCCCATGGCTGTGGGGTCACACCCTCAGGACTTGGCAGGTCCACACGGTTGGGGAGAGCTGTGTGGTCAGACCTGGCTGAGCTCTGCTCCCACACCCCCACCCTGTCCTGCCCTGCTCCTTGCCCTCCTCCCCAGCGTTGCTTGCTTTACTCCTTTTCATAATTCCCTGGAAAGCTGCTGTGAGCCTGGGGAGCTTCGAGCATTCCTCGTGTGCCAGTTCAGCTGTTCTGCAGGAATGGAGTCGCAGGGCTCTGCTACTGCCCTGCCCCTGGCTCAGCTCTCCTGGGGCAGGGGGACATGTCCCCACATCTGTGTTCACTCTCTCCTGAGACGTTTTTGTGTGTTCCTCCCTGGTCATTAAAGGCTCGTTTGTAACAACGTGGGCGAGGAGCTCTGTGCTTGCCCTACGACAGGGAAGGGCTCAACTTCAGTGCTGCCCAGTTTGAAGTTGGTCCAGTGTACACTGGGAGATGTCTGGGGAGCTTTTTAGACATGGATTTCTAAAGTGGCTGAAATGACAGAGCTTCGCCCCAGCAGTGGAGACACCAAGTAGGAAATGACAGCTTGGAATGGAATTCTGCACATGCTGCCCCGGGAGGGTTTGCTCCCTCTTCCTCCACAGCCCAGAGTGCTGTTTGCCCTAGGCCTGCCCCAGGGCAGCAGGGCCAGGGCCGAGCTGTAACCCTGGGGTGGTGTGGGGCTGTTCTTGTCCCTCTTCATCAGGTGATGTGGGGTCATCCTGGGCCATGAACTGTGGAGTGATGTGAGACTGTCACTGTTCCTGTGCCTGTCCTTGGCTGTGTCTCCCAGCACTCACTGCTCTACCCCCAGAGCAGCCTCAGCTCTGGGTTGCACAGCCAGGTCCCCCTGGGCAAGTGTCCCAGGGACCCCTGCAGTTCCAGGCCCTGGTGAGGAGGGGGAAGCTCTGGCCCCCAGGGCCAGGGCCAGGCTCTCCCCTGCTCCCAGCTGGGCTGAGTGCAGCCTGCCAGGCCCTGGCTGCTCCCAGGCTCTGCCTTTGCCCCTGTGGCACGGGAGAACTGGGGACAGAGTGTGTGTGTCCCCACCCAGAGCTCAGCACCCCCAGGGTCAGCCCTGCTGTCCTCCCTGGGCACTGGGCACTGCTCAGCTCCCTCCTGGTGCCCCATGGCACCACTGGGCTGTCCCCACTGCCCCACTCATGGGCTTGTTGGCCAAACCTCCCCAGGCCATCTGCCCCCGAGCAGGGCTCCTGCTGTGGGGCACAGGAGTCAGTCCCATAGCAGCCTGTGCCCACCAGGCTGGGGCAGTGCCCCTAGGGGTGTGGGGGCTCTGCTTTGGTGCCCCTGAGCTGCTGCATTTTAGCTCCTGAGCTGGGTCGGCAATGGAAATGAATTTGTAAAATTAAAGGAAGATGCAGTGAAATGTTACCCATCGATTTGGGCTCCACAGGGCTCACTGGAGGTTTTGGGAGTTTGGTGGCTGTGAGACCCAACCAGGGCACTGCTGTGCCCCAACAGCTCAGCTGCTTCGAGCCCAAACACAGATAGGTCCAGCTGCCACCCAGGCTCTGCTGCCAGGGCCTGTGGGCATGGACACACTGCAGCCCCTGGGGCAGACAGTGGCCTTGGAGCCAGTCTGGGTGCTGGCACAGTGCAGCCCCAGGTCCCTGGCTGGGAGTCCAGCACTGCTGACAATGGCCCAGGGGGTGAGTCTGGGCCAGAGGCACCAGGACAGGGGTCCTAGAGGTGCCCAGTGAGCCCTGAGGCTGCAGGACAGACCTGAGGTGCTTCTGCCCCCTCACCTGGTGCTGACCTCCAGGACCAGCCAAGGCTCAGCACCCACCTCACTGCCCTCCCCGGGGCTGAATGTCCCTCACCTGCCTTCTCCCTCCAGCAGCCCCTGGGGGTCTGGGGGTTGTCACCAGGTGCTCCAGGCACAGCTTGAGCTGGGACACAAACACCTGACTCACAGCACGCGGTGGGGAAGACCCACCTTGGCTCCATCACCCTCTCCTTGTGGTGCCCAGGGAGGACAGCCCTGCCAAGGCCCAGTGTGTGCCACGGGTGCAGGTGTCCCAGGCAGGTGTGGGGCCTGGCAGGACCCCTG